TATATATATTTATTTATATTTATATAAATATAATATATAATATATAATATATATATTATATATATATATAATGTTGATGCTGGATCAGGTTTTGATAATAAATCAACCCCTTCTATTCTCTAGTTAATCCCCCTCAAAGAGTTATCCCTTATGTTTCCTTGACAGACACACATATGGAAGAATTAAAATAATGAATTAAGTCCTTCCAGTATCTAAATAATGTCCTCTTAAACTTACTGGACTGCCACTAATGAACATGTTATGCTACTTTTCCAAAATCAAGCTGTTTGTGTTATTAACTAGGATTCTCAGGAAAAAACATACTCACACACAATGGTATTTTACTCTACCTTAGTACATTTTAATTTTAAACCTGTTTTAAGTCTGTCACAAAATGAATTGTGTGACCTTTTATCCCATCGTTTACAACAATCAGAATAGACTAATTCTCTGTATCTAGTTAACAAAGTGTTATAAATCTTCCGGAAATGCGTACTCCACTTACTTTTTGACACACAGTAAAGGGTGGGTGCTCTCCTAAGGGCTTCCATGACTGTCCCTGTTCTCAGTATTTTGAGCAAAAACAAGCCAAGATAAAAATCAGTGTACTGGGTTTATACCCAGTCTTTTCTCTGCTTCATTACAATCCTGATAAGTCTTAAAACTGTCAACCCTGATTTCCTAATAAATAAGAAGAGTCTTGTGCTTTATTGTTCTAAGGAAAATGTATTTCTGAAATTGCTACATAGGCTTTATTTTGTAAAGATTTTATTTTATTTATTTATTTTATTGTTTTTTCAAGTACATTTGTCTCCATTTTCACCCCATAGGCTTTATTTTTGTAAGATAGTATAAGTTTTACATATTTCCTGTATATTTCTAAATACTTAATCATTTTTATAAGCAGTGTTTATGGAATAAAATTCAATATTTTATTTCAGATGTGGCACAGCCAGAGAGAGCATAGACATGTACAGGGGAAAAAAACAATAATTATTCTTAAACTATAGATTTACTGATCATCCCATCACAGTTTTTTCTCCCTTTAGAAAAATCTCATTGTATGCATGAAAGGACATTTCTGATTTAAAGAGAGTATGGTAACATAATTCTATCCACCCCAAACATTACAATTTCCTCACGTGCTAGGGTAATAAGCACATGTTTCTCTCTATTTTCTAATCAGTTGAGTTAATATTCTTAAGAGTATTTGATCTATATCAGATAACATTATATTCATATGGTATCTTTTGATGTGATTTTATATAATTATTGTTCATTTCTGTAACTCATTGTCTTATTCACAGAATTTGTTTCCATCTAAACTTGCAATGCATCTGACTTTTATGTTGAAACTAAAGGAACTCCCTGTAATAAAATGTACACTGATGTGAAAATCTATATCACCTAGAAAACATATCCTCTGTTCATCTGTTGCTACTGGAACAGCTACTGTTGGAGGAAGGTAGCTAGGTTTGGGCGATGCTTGCAGGAAGAGGGAACAAGAGGCAGCAAGGAGGATGCATATGTCCCTTTTTCTTCCTCCAGCTGTGCTGCCTCCTATTGGAGCCCATGCCAGCAGAGCTGAGCTCGGCCAGCTCTGAAAAGTAAGTGTGTTCTGTAGATCCCAAGATCCAGTCCCACATAGTAGAATGTAGATGGGTAGGTTTTAAGGCAGCATATATAATAGCTTAATAACTTATATATATTTTCTTCTATGCTTTTTCATGCATATGACTAATTATTCCCTGCCCTAAATCCACCATACTAATCCTCCATCCTCCAACATACACATACTAAGGATTGAACCAAACTCATAGGAGCATCTGGAACCAACCCTATATACTTATACCACATACACAGTCTTCAACATGGAGATTTATTCCAGAATTTAAAGTGTATCCTCTGTCATTCCAAATAATATCTCTTACTTATTAATTCATGAATTGGGTGTGAGAGAATAACAGAGGCAAAGATAACTCTAATATCTCAGGCCAAGTCATCAGAAGGGTGCTGTAAAGATGTGTGAGGTGCACCTTTGTAATAGACAATCAAAAGTACCCAAAAAGACACGTATGGTTATTTTGAGTCACACCTTGCTCCCAATTCCAGCCCAATCAACCACTAATCTACTTCTGTCCCTATACATTTTTCTTTTTTGGAAGTTTCATATAAGTAGAATTATATAATATGTTGTCTTTTGTGTCTGTCATCTTTTACTTAACATTTTTGAGATTTTTCCATGATACAGAATGTATCAGTATTTCATCACAGAACAGTATTCCATTGCATATCTTTTCATCAGTTAACAGACATCTGGAGTATTTCCACCCTTTGACTGTCATTTGAAAATACTACCATAAACATTTGTGTAGAAGTCTTTGTGTGGACGTATATCTTTATTTTCCTTGGAAAGATACCAAGAGTATAATTATTGGGTTGTAATACAAGTTTAGGTTTAAATTCTTTAGAAATTGCCAAATTGTGTTTAAATTTGTATCATTTTACAATCTCCATGGCAGTCATTCAAAGTTCCACCCTGGCTGGTGGGGTTCAGTGGATTGAGTGCCAGCTTGAGAATCAGGGCGTCACTGGTTTGATTCCCAGTCAGGGCACATGCCTCGGTTGTGGACTGAAAGACCACATCAGTGTTCCTCTCATACACTGATGTTTCTCTACCTCTCTTTCTTTCTCCCTTCCACTCTCTAAAAAAATAAATAAATAAAATCTTAAAAAAAAAGAAAGTTCCAGTTTTTCTATATCTTCTCCAACAGTGATACAATCTTTCTTTCATATTATTGACTTTCTACTTAATGTGAAATAGAATCTCATTGTGACTTTAATTCACATTTCTTTGCATATTATGATTTTAGTTTTGTAATGTTTTAGGCATTTATATATCTTTGATGAAATTATATACTAAAATATTTTCCCATTTTAATTGGCTTATTTGTCTTCTGATTACTGAGTTTTAATAACCCTTTATATACTGTGAATAAAAATTCTTCTCCTGGCTGACATAGCTCAGTGAATTGAGCACGGGCTGTGAACCAAAGTGTCGCAGGTTTGATTCCCAGTCAGGGTACATGCCTGGGTTGCAGGCCATGATCCCCAGCAACTGCACATTGATATTTTTCTCTCTATCTCCCTTCCTTCCCTCCCTAAAAATAAATAAATAAAATCTTTTTAAAAAATTCTTTGTAATAGAATTTGCCCATAATTTTTCCCATTCCATGGCTTGTATTTTCTTTTTTTTTTTAAGATTTTATTCATTTATTTTTAGACAGAGGAGAAGAGAGTGAGAAAGAGGGAGAGAAACATCAATGTGTGGTTGCCTCTCATGCACCACCTACTGGGGACCTGGCCAGCCACCCAGGCATGTGCCCTGACTGGGGATCAAACCAGTGACCCTTTGATTCACAGGTTGGCACTCAATCCACTGAGCCCCACCAGCCATGGCTTGTCTTTTCATTTCATTTCAATGTTTCTTCAAGAACAAATATTTTTAATTTTGGTGAAATCTAAGATATCATTATTCTTTATGGATTTTTTTATTTGGTGCTGCAAATAATAAATCTTGACTAACACAAGGTCACAAATTTTCTCTGATATTATTCTAAAACTTCCTTAGTTTTACTCTTATGTATAAGTCTATAATCCATCTTCAGTTAATTTTTATTGTTTAATAAATTAGAGGTCCAAATTCCTCCTTTTGCAATTTGTTACCAAATTGTTCTAATATTTCTTGGAAAGACTTCTTTTCCCAATGAAATGTCTTAATATCGCTGTTGAAAATCAATTGACTGTAAATGCAAAGGTTTGATATCTAGACTTTTAATTACGTTTCATTAACCTATAGCTATCTTAATTACTATAGCTTTATAATGAGTTTTGAAATAGAAAAGTAAATGTTGCCTAACTGTTGGATTTAAGAGATGTTTATGCTGTTCAGGTTCATTTGCATCTCCAAACCTTTATGAAATTAGAGATTGTGGTGTATCTATGAACACATTTTGAAGAAAATTGGTTATTTTGCTACTCACAGAGTAATTGTACCCATTCATTTATGGTTCCTGGTGAATTTCTAAGACCTGAATTCATAGACATATTGAGCCTCAATTGTGTGGGTCAGGTTCATTCCAGAAACTGAACTCCACTTAACATCTGCTTCTTTCTAGAAAAGAATATTGCTCCTTATCATACAGAATTCTTTGATTTCTTGATTTTCTCTGAGTTTATTCATGATCTTCTTAAGGAATAGATAATCTCCTTTATACATCCAATGCAGACAGCATAATACTGCTGAGCCTGCCAACTGGTATTTCAAGCTTCCACCAAAATATAAGAGCAATGTTAACCTTTAGAAATTTCTGATAACACAACTAAACCTTGTGGTATGCACCTAGGCATCCAGCTTAACATCATGAAATCATAATTTGTACAAGCTGCTTGTTTTCGTTTTTTAGCTAGGGCATAGTAGTGAACATCTTTTCTTGCATCAGCTGTGGGAATAAATAAGGATTTTAACCATATCTTTTCTCAAACTCTGTAATTTGAAAGTATCATTCCCAAACTGAAGGCTGAGGCAGAGCGGAGGGGCAGCCAAGGAGCCTGCTCTGTGTGCTACATCTGGCTCCTTCCACCATCGTGGTATAGTGCCTTAGCTCCCGCCACTGGAAGATGTTCGGTAAAATATAAGAAATTATACCATGTTTGTATATTGATGAGGATAATGCATAAAATACCACCAACATGGATAATATAAAAGAGTGAAGAAAATTGCTGGAGGTATATATCCTTGATTAGGTAAGAAAAGAGATTTCATATAGAGAGAGGAAGAAAGTTTAGATGGAAGAACAATGGTACATCAGTGGATATATAATGGAAGGTAGGTAAATTTATGTATGAGAGCAGGTACTCATGGTGGGTGGAATTTTTCAAGATCATTGTTAGGGTGGTTGGTGATGTGGGCTGTGAAAGAATTCACAAGGAGAAGAAAATGCAGAGACTAAACATTTTTATTTTTACTCTCCCAAGGTAGGGAAAGGGCTGGGTGCAGAGAAATGCACATCTGTGAGGGATAGGGCTTTGGGCTTTTACCCAGTAATGGTGTGGTTGTAGGACAGGATGTTTCAGTTGGGCTGCAAATAGTCTCGATGTTATCTTTGGGTGCAGGGTCCCATCCACTCATGGTCTGGTATGTCCTGTTTCGTAAGTTCCCGGAGCCTCTGTGCCTTCAGGGCACTTCCAGTAATTTTCTAGTCCTGAGGATAAAGGCTCCAGTAATTTTCTAGTCCTGGGGACAAAACAATTAAGGTCAGTCATGCTTTATGAGGTGCAGCCAGCTCTGGGAACCAGGGTCTGAGAAGGTGGCTTTTGTCCTTTTAATTATTACTTGAGTATTCCAATTTTCTCACTGAGTTAGGAGCTCCCTTATTAGCTGAGTGAAAGGATTGGAAATGAAAGATAAGAGATGTGAAATAGTCATCTCAATGAGAGAATAGATGGATGAGGAAATATAGCACAATGGCCAAGATTCATTAGCAACTCACCTGGGATTCCTAGTCATTAATTTAATGTGAGACCACTCAGCATGGCTGTGTGTAAGTCTGTGTGTGTGTATTCCAGGCAAACCCATCAGAATGGGTATGGAGAAGTTGGAAAGTTAGATTAAACAGAGTTTGAATCAGCCAAATAAGAATACAAACAGGAAAATAAGGTAATATGATGTGTACTGATATAGAAGAGCCACAAAGACAAACATTTAAGATTTTAAAACCCACAGTTGTGCAGTATAATCTAATTTGTGTGGATACAAAATGAATGTTAAAACCGAAATCATGGCTTTAGACTGCTGAGATGATGCCAGAGTTTGCTATTGTTTTGGTAAATCCAAGGTGGTACTTCCCCTATCCCCACCTAGCTCTGAGTCAAATCAAATTACCACCACACCCTGAGAGCAGAGGTTTTCCAGAGATCTACAAGTACAGGAAAATATTTACTATGCCATGTGCATGAAGCTTTTAACACAGTTGTGAAAGATGTTCACTAACTCCTTCTAATGCAATGCTACCAGGTTGTAGCTACTAGGAAGCTGAACTGGGGAGAGAGGGCTTGTTGGAACAGCCTGGAGTTGGGACTTCCCAGATACCATGGTATTAATGAGGTTCAGTAGTTTCACTTGGACAGAGGATGTTTCAGTTCATTCTGTGGCATTGGTGAATTGCCAGCGTTCTGACGTGGTTGATTTTAGTTGTGTTCTTCAAATTTTCTTTTTTTAGAGGGAGAGGAAGTTCACCAGGTTCACCAGTTCATTCTGCCATTCTAGAAATTGATCGGGAGATGATTGAATTTTTAATAAAAGAGTATGGTCATAGATACAGTAATAGACTTAGAAAATTTTAACCCAGTGTGCTACTACTTACCTAAGTGCTCTGGAGTTAAGTTTCTCAAACACATTAGAAGTTTATCTCTGCAAGTTCATTTCCAATACTCAGAAACCAAGATATCATCTCTGCTTCTAGCATCATGTTATTATTTTAAATTATTATTTAAAATGGTAATGAGTTTCCTGGAAGTTGAAAGGATTTTTATTACTTTTTCTTTTCTTCATTTGGTAACTATTTAAGAGGAATATATTTAAGCAATTAGTATTTTTACTATGTCATGGCCTCTCTAGTTTTTCATCTATCTCATTTCCAGTTTCCCCACAAGAGATCATCTGTTTATACATTCAGTAAGTGAAATGTCTCCTGCCTTCATATAATTTGTATGTTCCATACAGAAAAGAATGAATCAACTGATCATTTAAAATTAGTTCTTATAGAATCAAACATTGGAATGGAAATAAAAAAGATTATTCCTTTTACCTTCTTCTTTGGAGAACAAAAGAATGTAGACAGGTAGGGACCCCCTTTATCTGAAAGGTTTCTGGAACAGATAATTCTATTATCTTGTAAAAGAAGAGAACAAAAAATATTTGGGGAAATAAAGTGATTTTTTAAAATTTTATTTCCCTACTACAAAATATTTGCCAATTTTATTTAAAACTTGACATTTGGGTCAGGATCAAGATTTTCTTCCAAAAAACTGAGCAAATTATTTTTAAAAGCACAAGTTATCAATCTGCTTTAGATCCAAAAAGACCTTTACTGGATAGTCAAGTTTTTAACAATTATATATAGATGGAATAATGAAGATGTTATTTCAATTATCCATCTCTTTTGAAGTGGTTCTTGCATAGAAAAGGAAAGGAAGAATGCAGATATTTACTAACTATTGAACTTCTTTTCTGGGGAATGTCAGAAAAGGTTACATCCATCACATTTCCTACTAAAAGTTGTTTTCCTAAACATCCAAATGTTTAAATGAGCTGAAGAAGGTATAATCAGGGGAGAAATGTTCTCACAAGTAATATTTATGTATTTTTTGGTAATATATTCATAATATAAGAATACGTCCCTCTGAGTATGTTGGCATAATAATTTGGTTAATGAGGTTTAAGCAGCCTTATTCTCCTCTATACTTTATCTGTAATAACAAACAGAGCTGACTACTATACTTGTAGAAACCAGACCCCCACCACTGAAGGAAAAAAAAAATGAAAATGATGTTCTCCTATCAATCTTAAGCTCCTTTCTACAATGGAGCAAAACCCTAGAATTTGCAAAATAAGCTCTCTTTTCTCTTTGAAGGAATTGAGGTTATTGGCACAAATAAATAAATGAAATAATAAAATTCACAAATTTAAAACATGTTTGATGATACAGAGGCTTTTTCTTAATCTAAAAAAAAAAAAAAAAACCAAAGGAGACACCAGTAAGCATAGGTGTGAAGAGAAGACGTAAGCTCTGTTCTGTATCATAATGAGCAATACTGATAATGATAATGAACAATAATAATCTTGCATAATTAAAACTTTATGCCCATTGATTATCAACTTCCTCCATTTTCCCCTCCCCCTCAGGCCCTTCTACTCTCTGATTCCCTGAGTTCAACTATTTCAGATATAACACACAAATAGTGCAATGATGCAACATTTGAGCGCCTCTGAATGGCTTATTTTGCTTATCATGGTGTCTTCAAGAGTCTTCCACATTGTCCCATATTGCAGAGTTTCTTTGCTTTTTTTAAGGCAGACTGATAATCCTTCATATATATACCACATTTCCTTTGTTCCTTTATCCATCCATGAAAATGTAGGTTATTTCCACATGTTGGCTTTTATGAATAGTGTATCAATAAACATAGGAGTTCTAAAATGTCTTCAGGATCCTGACTTCAATTCTTTTAGAATCAATGAATGAATTGGTATTTTTACTTTTATTTGTTGTTTCTTTTGTGTGTGTGAAACCTCCACACCATTTTTCATAGCATCTGTACTATTTTGTATTCTCAGCAGCAGCATACAAAGATTCTAACATCTCCACATCTTTGTCAATACTTGTTTTCATTCATTTTTTGATAATAGGCATCATGGCAGATATAAGGTGATATCACATTTTTATTTTCATTTGCATTTCCCTGATGATTAATGATATGGACTACCATACATGTGCATTCCACTGACCTTCAAAGGGGGTAAAAAATACACAGTGGTGAAAGGATAGTCTCTTCAACAAATGATACTAGGGAAACTGGATATCCACAAGCAAAAAATAAAATTGGACCCATACCTTACACCATATACGTAAACATCTTATAGTGGACTAAATACATAAACATAAGACCGTGGACTGTAAAACCCTTAGAAAAAAATATACAGGAAAAGCTTGACGTTGGTCTTGGTGACGATTTCATGGATACAATACTCAAAGCACATCAAGGCAACAAAAGCAAAAACAGACAAGTGGGACTACATCAAACTAAATGACTTCTGTGCAGAAAAGGAAACAACCCAGCAGAGTGAAGGACAACTTGTGGAATGGGAAAAATATTTGCAAACCATATATTACACAGGGTTTAATTTCCAAAATATATAAGAAACTCTATGACTCAACAGCAAAAAGACTAATAACCTAAAAATAATGGGCTAAAGACTTGAATAGACATTGCTTCAAAGAAGATATCCAAATGACCATCAAGTTTTAAATGTAAGTAAATTTGATTTTTTTAAATTTATATTTAAACTTAAATTTAAATGTTTTAAATTTAAGTAAACAGACTGGTGGCTAAACAAGAATCGGTGTGGATAATGTAATGCTCTGTGTGGAGACCCAATTTCAGTCATTGGGGTGGACACACAGATATGCTAAACATGTATTCTTCAAAGACAGGCAGACTGCCACAGTTTCTGGGAGTACAGTCAGCAGCTGCCTATTAGCCTCTTGAAGGACTGTCTTAGCTTTACAGAGATACCCATAGTCATGACCCTCTGAAGCCATCCCACCTCCAATGAGTAATTCAGGTGAAGGTTTAAAGGCCCAGTGATTTAGAATTAACATGGACCAACTCTAAGGGCCATTTTCGTCCTCTACTCCCACTGAAGTGGACAGATCCTTTCAGACCACGTTACAGAAAAAATTTTCTCTCTCATGATCCTTCCGCTTCCTCCTCCATTCTGAAAGTATTAATCATAATATCATCCCTCAAAAGCATCCTGGATGTTAAAATCTGTCTCAGTTCTGCTGTCTATAGAAGTCAAATTATGAAAGTGACTGATTGGAGGAACCCCAGAAAGCAGATGCTAAAATGTCATTGTAGAGCTGAATTGCCTGTCACCAGGCTAGCAATGAGGACCCAATCATGGTAGTAGGGAGAACACATATACCCCTAGTATAAGGTAATGGCACAATTGTTAAAATTCTACTGGTGAACTAGAGTCATGTAGTGGTAGAAGAGAATATACTAGCTCATGAGATTAATCTGATATTTGAAAGATAGGGAGAAATAGACATAATAAAAGTGACAGAAATGAATGGCTTTCTAAGATCTAGTAAAAATCTAGATAAGATAAAATGCTGCAAGAAATTGTGGGTTGTCAGTAGAAAGTAGTACATTCTCCTTGCTTGAAGCTAATAGGTTTCTCCACCTCAAGTCAACATAGGAGTCCCTTCTGTCTTGGTCACTTGGCTTATAACTAGGGTTGAATAACAACAAAACTCAGACAGAGATGTGCTGGGCCTGAGAAGAAATAGGAATACACCTCAAAGCAGTTGCTAGACTAAATGAATATTCCAGTAGTAGTTGAGGAAGAATATATGCCACTCACTTCTAAAAGACTTTGATGAAGCAGGCCACTACTTACATTTGAAATCATTTCCTTGAGGTTCAAGATTTACCATCTGGAAAGGACCCCCCAACATGGTGTGATCTCATCATTAGCACGACTGGTCAATGTGAAAGAAAATGATGACTTCTGGTCAATGAGGTCATAATGCTGGAACTGCTATGTCAGATAGTAGAAGAGGGGATGGAACCTGCAGAGGATTTCTTACACAAGAGGGTTACACTAAATCTGGAACATCCAGCAGATGTTTCACGTGCAGGCCTAATGACTGGTATCATATCATGTACTGAGATCATATGAAATGCACTGGTGAGATGTGCCCTCACCCCTGTGAATTTTGGAGGTGGTTCCCTTCCATGGGACAGCACTGTTGGTAGAAGACGCTGCTACAGGCCTTGCTTCACTGATTGCCATGGGGATAGTAGACTCATAAACCAAGAAGATGAAGTGGTAACACTTAACTGTCAGAATCTAGACGGGAGCAAAGTTGACCCAGGGGGACTGACCCACAGATATTTATGAAAATTGTTGCTTCACTTTGTTTCATCCTGCCTGGCACCTTGTTTCTACCCTGTGGCAGTGCGGAGCTCTCTTAACTGTTAAGGAGTAGTTGAATTTCTACAGTCCTAAAATTACATTCGGCCCTTTGAAGGCAACCACAAGGCTGATGTGGCCCCCAGTGAAAATGAGTTTGATGCCCCTGCCCTAGTCGGAAGCAAAGCTGAAGCACCTACCAAGGGGGACTGACTCACAAATATTTATGAAAATGGTTGATAGTACTCAGGATCAATGTGGGTAGATAAGTTCAGCAGTCAACAAACCTACTACACAAAATGTTCCGATAGGTTAGAAAAAATGGTGTAATGGTCTGGAGGTCACAATGGCAGTTGCCTCAGTAAAATGTCAGGATTCCTTGCCCTGTCTCCAGGCCTAACCCAGTTTCTAAACAGGGAACCCATTAATTGCATGAAAAGTCAGCTCTCCAGATGGAAAGACTATCCATCCTAACATGTACACACAGTAATGATAACTCCGGTCCTTTTGCAAACACATTTATGATCATTCATTCAGATAACTGTATCCTGTATAAGGAAAAGGGAAATACTGAACGTTTTAAAGACTGTTGGATACAGAGTCCAAGCTGAAACTGATACTCAGGAACATCGAGCATCTTTATGTTCCTTATCAGCTTGGAGGCATTTGTTTGTGGTCCCAGCAGCAAACAGAGTCCTAGTTAAGGTCCTGTGGCGAAGGCACATTCATTGTATTCACAGAGTCAAACAATTGTGTTTTCCCTGGTCCTAGAATTTACAATGAGGAAAAACATACTTGGTAGTTGCTAA